ATTGGGCCTAAGCAAGTTTGTAATGTCAGCCTAATATGAAATCAAAACATTCAGATTTATTTATATAAACAAGACAGATTTTGTACCAGTTCTTGTCATAATAACGGACATTCATGACATTCATTCGAAGCATGTTAACATCAACAGCTTTCAAAGCAAGCAGTCCGACTTCATTCTGTTACGTGTGGATAGCATACATTCATTGACAACATCAACAGTTGTGGTCATTTTGATGGGGGGGAAAGTTCATTCTACCATGACTTCAGTAAATACTGGATTGTTATTAATCAAAGTCATTCGTTATATACCTCTGATCACGTTATATACCTCTGATTTTCCAACACAGTATGTATTTTTGCAAAATATTAATACCGCGGTTATGGTAGAATGGAGATAAACGTACTGTGTTGGAAAATCAGAGGTATATATAACGAAATTATAATAGCTCTACATTATTATATTTAAAACCTCACGCTACACGTTCGGTATTAAATCAAGTTTAGAGCTATTATAATTTCATTATATACCTCAGATTTTCCAACACAGTATGTTTATCTCCTAATTAAGGTGGACACACATCGGTAAGCATTTATATTTCATTGTCTAATTAATATACAATTTTGTTGGTGTGAGAATTTCATATAATTTGAATGATGCCTCTGTCAATAGCAGAGCAGGGCCCCACTAAAATTCTTGATGATTGATGTTTGTTATTGCACATTGCTTGTCATATAAATCAGGCCCCTTGTCATCCATAGTGCATTATTGCTTGCTTGATTAATTAATTGCAGTTTGTTACCTGTACGACAGGTGAGCGCACCAGTGTTGTGACAGCGGTTCCTGGTTTAAATGATGTTCTAGGATGGGTGTGTTCTCTGTTGTAAATGCTTTAGCTACAAGCAGCATGGAAGCAGACTTTTTCTGTTGATCGAAATTGGATTACAGTGGAGACACTAAGCTGCTGACATCTGTCAATATCCCTTCAAGATGTTGACATCTGTCAATATCCCTTCAAGGTGTTGACATCTGTCAATATCCCTTCAAGGTGTTGACATCTGTCAATATCCCTTCAAGGTGTTGACATCTGTCAATATCCCTTCAAGGTGTTGACATCTGTCAATATCCCTTCAAGGTGTTGACATCTGTCAATATCCCTTCAAGGTGTTGACATCTGTCAATATCCCTTCAAGGTGTTGACATCTGTCAATATCCCTTCAAGGTGTTGACATCTGTCAATATCCCTTCAAGGTGTTGACATATGTCAATATCCCTTCAAGGTGTTGACATCTGTCTATCCCTTCAAGGTGTTGATATATGTCAATGTCCCATCAAGGTGTTGATATATGTCAATGTCTCTTCAAGGTGTTGATATATGACAATGTCTCTTCAAGGTGTTGATATATGACAATGTCCCTTCAAGGTGTTGATATATGTCAATATCCTTTCAAGGTGTTGACATCTGTCTATCCCTTCAAGGTGTTGACATATGTCAATGTCCCATCAAGGTGTTGATATATGACAATGTCCCTTCAAGGTGTTGATATATGACAATGTCCCTTCAAGGTGTTGAAATCTGACAGTGTCTCTTCAAGGTGTTGATATATGACAATGTCCCTTCAAGGTGTTGATATATGACAATGTCCCTTCAAGGTGTTGAAATCTGACAGTGTCTCTTCAATGTGTTGATATATGACAATGTCTCTTCAATGTGTTGATATATATGACAATGTCCCTTCAAGATATTGATATATGACAATGTCCCTTCAAGGTGTTGAAATCTGACAGTGTCTCTTCAAGGTGTTGATATATGACAATGTCTCTTCAAGGAGTTGATATATGACAATGTCTCTTCAAGGTGTTGATATATGACAATGTCTCTTCAAGGTGTTGATATATGACAATGTCTCTTCAAGGTGTTGATATATGACAATGTCTCTTCAAGGTGTTGATATATGACAATGTCTCTTCAAGGTGATGTTGTAGACATGAAGGAAATAAAGAAGGAAATAAAGTACATACATATATTATTAGTTTGACCACAAGCGGCTCATAATTTCTCAATATTTTGTCAATATGTATACATCTTCTGAAAACTGGCTGTAATTTCTATAGGCTATTTTCACTGAAATTGTATTACCAGCTGATGTCTGTCATGGATATGTATTATTATATAAAACAAAATTTCATCAGGAAATCCGGGATAGGATATGTAATGTGCTTTAAAAGGCCAATGAGACATGAGGGCTTGGAGCAAGCTTTAATGAGAAACCAAAACATCTGTAAAGATAGAAAATCAATATTAATTGACAATTTTGATATCTCTACCAGAAGTGGGCCTGGTGTTGTTTGTCAGACTTTCTCATAAACAAACTAGGTACAATGTAAAAACAACAAACTGAAGGTCAGCGAATACCGCTGTATGGTCTGTGGAAGTATATGTGAATTATGTCATTCAGCGTTTTTAAAACCCAACAGCATGTGAATGATCACCTTTGGACTGCCAAACCAGTAGTGAAAACATGAGCGATGATCTAAGATACACGATCAGCCAGGTCAAGTTTTGCACCACCCAATACTCAATATTCCCCTGCTCTTATGGCTATGGGGCATGATGGCCCAGTTGTCTCTGGCGCAACAATGGCTGTGCAGAGTTATGTCCCTTGAGAATGCCAGAAACCTACCATTTTGGTTTTGAATCCTAGTTTACCCCGATGTTGATGAGGATGTGAAGAATCAATTCCTGGCTTTCTGAGTTATGAGGGAATGCTTTGCCAAGAAGCTCTTGAAGACTGAAGAGATTACCTCTCACACACACACATGTATGCTCCAGTAGGTAACTGCAATAATTGGACCATGATGTTAAACCCACTTTAGGGACTGTGGGTGATGGTTAAAGCATCTACTCGTCAAGCTGAAGACCCGGGTTCAATTCCCCAAATGGGCACAATGTGTGGAGCCCATTTCTGGAATATTGCTAAAAGCAGCGTGAAATCACTCTCACTCACTCACTCACTCACTCACTCACTCACTCACTCACTCACTCAACCAAATACCAGCTCGCGCAAGGTGGAATAATATACAGTGAAACTCTACAGGTTCCCCTCTCACTCACTCACTCACTCACTCACTCACTCACTCACTCACTCACTCACTCACTCACTCACTCACTCACTCACTCACTCACTCACTCAACCAAATACCAGCTTGCGCAAGGTGGAATAATATACAGTGAAACTCTACAGGTTCCCCTCTGAATAGGAAGTTTCAACTTTGTCACTTTCAAATGAAATGAATAACAACGACCGTGACATTGGGTAATTTGCCTGACATACAGTGTGCAATATTAATGCATCAAATCCCCTGAGATGTCTGAGATTTGACACTTTCATTGTTTCATTTGTCACCGGCTTCATTAATTCTCGTTTTTTCCTTCCTCTTTTATTGATTTCAAAATCTCAGCTTCAAACTGTTCTTCTTATGTGGGGGGCCGTGGGGTAGCCTAATGGTTAAAGCGTTGGCTCGTCACGCCGAAGACCCGGGTTCGAATCCCCACATGGACACAATGTGTGAAGCCCATTTCTGGTGTCCCCCGCCGTGATGTTGCTGGAATATTGCTAAAAGCGGCGTAAAACCAAACTCAGTCAGTCAGTCTTCTTATGTGAAAGGTTGCAAAATATATATGTGGTTTCGGTTTTGTTTTCCAGTCCGTCAGTTGCAATGTACATACTTTCAGATATTTCCTTTCAAATTATTGAAATTGTAAATAAGTGAAAAGTGTGTATCTCATCACTGTTACAAATATACAAGGATGTGAAATCATCACTTAATCCTATAAAAATGATAGAATAATTTAGACAAATTAACACCGCATATTTTACTGGAGAGTTGGTAATATAAATATGAAAAACAACTCTCCACACAAACTGGCATCACAATATCTGCCACATTATTTTTCCAGTGAGATCGATAAATCAATATTGCCATTAAAACATACAAGTGTGCCATGTATTTGAAAACACTGATGTCAGTGTTGAAGTGACAGTTTGAAGGACGAGAGGCCTCGTCCTCAGTGCTCTGTATGTCTGTATCCAATGGCACAAGTGTGCCTGATCTTCTCCAGGCACAGAGTTGCCAAAGCCCACACCTGGTATATGCGTGTGCTGTAGTGATACTTCCAGTCAAGCAGTGTGCGCTTCCCAATGCAGTACCTCTCACCGAATGTGTGATTCGCTGATTCCGTGTGACAGAACACTGTGCACACTTCCCACAAAACAGGTCGTAAACAGAATGGAAAGTAACCAGGCTGGCCTTGTGAACCTCTAGATAATTAGAAGAGTGATGAACAGAAATGACAGTCGCTCAGGAAGTTGAACCAGGATCGAGTTCGTTTGTCGCGGGGAGAATTATGACATGTTTTGTCTCGGATCAGACTCTCACCTGCTCATTAGTGTGGCTTTAATTAAGACACGTCAAACAAGGAGGATTCAAATTTCATTTCATTGTGAGAATTATGAGTCTTTGTTACAACGCTTCACTGGACTTGGATCGGTGACTCCTCTTTGTTTTAATGGTGGATCTACAGGTAGATTCATTGATTCTCCCTGCACTCTCTCTCTCTTTACATCGAAGGATCGGACTCTGCCTGGCAGCCGTACAACTACTGCAGAGCTCAATGCTGCCATGCTACCATTCTGCCTCCAGAGTTAGGACTTCACAGGAATAGATAGATTCATTATTAATTGATAGTGGAGACAGTACTCTTTCATCCAGGAATAATATATGGAAACCTAAGCATATCTCTTAGACTGAACTTATAATTCATAGTTTTTTCTTTAAGAGCAGATGTATCTAAATGTATTCTGTTTTGAGGGAGTTCTGAGTTTAAGTTATTTTTAAGTTTGTTGAGTGATAAATTTTAATATATTTTACATTTTTAAATATTTTTAAAACATTATTTCTAACTTAACTGTTGAACAAAAGTTTATGGATCAATGTTTTAGAATAAAATTAACACAATCATGTTTTTTTATCAGAAAAGAATGTAAGAAACGAATTTTCAGTTAGTACATACAGATTCTTCTTTCATCCAAAAGGAAATTAATATTTGAGTTTGAATATCGCAAATTTCCAGTAATATTTGTAGCAGCTATATATCTCTTGCCTTCACGTTAATTAATATGTCACAAAATCTATTTTCATTTATGTGAATGACATCATTGCCGTTTTCTGCAATTAAACTGACAGTCGTACTTCGTGCCTTCTCCACCGTGGTTATTATTATGCATGACACAAGCAAAAAAATATTCCTATTGTTTCTGAAATTATGAGAGAAAGATGCACATGAACAACTAAACCATAGATGCTGTTGTTTGATGTGATGGGTTAATATGGTCTGTTGAGTAATAAGCGCTGTAAGACCGTGCTCCATCTTACAAAAATAGCCTGAAGATAATTAATGCCTTTTAGAAAGTCTTAAAGGAGTATGTATGTAGGTCTTTCAATTATGGGAAAGCTGATCACATCTTTCCATCACGACGTAATGGATATCGTGAACATTAGCTCAGGAATCAATTATTTGTGTAAATACATTTAGAATTTATTGCCTGATTGATGGTATCAGGAGAATAGTCCTCAGTTTTTTATACGCCATGGATTAAAATGTATTAAATAATTTCAGAATAATTAATTGAGAAAAAGAAAGTAAAATAGATTTAATGACACAGAATTAATTTACGTGGCTTGTTGATCAAGTACTGTCTGTCATTTCCTTTGAAGTTAACAGTCATTGAAGTTTTTTTTTGTGTTTTTGTTCCTATGTATGTACAGGGCAAAGCTCTTCCCTTCTCCTCCCTCACAAGTTCACTCCATCAACAAGCTGTCATCATTGAGAGATAGCAATAGCCTGGAAGCTCTTCCGTTTCCCCCCCTGCTGTTCTCACTGATAACATGACAGTTGTAAATCCTAAACCGGAGTGATTGAATGCCAGTGTGTTTGTTGATACTTGGGGTGTATAAGAACCTGTTAATAAGGTGGCATATGGTAAATGAGGCATGAAATATAGTGTCAGGAGGTAGCATTGCACAGACAACTGACCACATTGACAGAAGCTGTAGAATGGTTAATATTTCCTCTGACCTCCCTCCCCCGCTTGGCCTTCAGTCAGTTGGATAATAGCCATGTGTGTGGAGTATGTCAGTGGCATGCTTACTACTGCTGGATCAATTGTTGGCCAATACTGACTGGAGGCACTGCGGTGATCGGAGCTGCGGAGAGCCCACGGTCTTGACAGCCTTCAGTGAACGGTTAGAGGCAAGACTGGGTTTAGGGCAGTTCTGATTGGTGGTTCGAACTCCCTATTGGGAAGTTTGTTGGTGCAAGTGGTGTGTACACCTCTGGGATGACATCAATGTACTGCGGTAGAAGTTCCATCTCTTATTGATGGGAACAAGTGTCGTATAGGCCAGGATGTTCTACCTCTCAGTTCCTCCTTTGTTTCAGCTAAGACGATGCTAAGACCAGGCAGGTGTTAATTCATTAAACATTAACGAAGAGTTAATTAGATTCTTCCCTTTTCTACACAGCGTCGACGTGTCAAGCACAATGTTGTCACAGCGGTGCACATACTGTGGTCAATGTTGTAACCTCAATGTTCCAAACTTGGCTTACATCGAACAGCTTTCCTATTCCTAATTGTTGTGTGTGTCACAAGTGTGATCTTGTGGATTTTTGTCATTCCAATATGCATGGCTCTTGAGAAGGAAGGAAATGAACTGGCTAAACTCGCCAAACTAATGACATTTTGAGTCAGCGAGTGATATTTCCTCAACAGAGATCATGCTGAACTTTTTCAAAAGATCCCGGTCGCGATCTCCTTCATTTGAGATTCCCAAACTTTGTCTACCAAGACAGAAACGGTCTACATCTGTAGACTGTAGTACCCCAAACCTTCAGGTTCCTATTGAACCTCAAAGAGGAAGATCATCAAGTTTTGACTCAAGTAGTCTACATGGGGATGAATTACTTCAAGTGCCGGTCAACATGCATGGCAGACGGTCACAGTCCTTTGATTGTTCCCCTCCCTGGAATGGGGGATCATCGGATGAAAATATTTCTGACAAAGAATGCAGTCAAAGTTTGCGTGTGCCAAGATATGAGAGGAGACGAGCATCTTTGGATATTCCTAAAGTTTGTTTACATTGTTTACATATGGAAAATTTGATGAAAGAAAAGGAAAAAGCAGATGCAGAAAGGTTGGAGAATGGGGATTTATCCAGTGACACTTCGTCGTTGTTTGACGATTATGATGTCGGGGACAATGACGACGAGGACAATTCTGCCGACATTTTTTCAAGTGACACTGAAGGGACTTCAGGTAGCAGGGAGGATTTTCCCCAAATTGTTGAAATTAATTCCAGAAACAGTAGCTTGGACTCGGATAAATTGTATCGAACAGCTGTCATGTTGGAGGTACCAGTGATTAAACAGCGGTCATCGTCCATGGATGCGGCCTACATGCCTTTGCAAGTTCCCCAACAGGAGAGTCCCCGAAAAGCTTCACTGGATGAAAGCTCGCTGGATGTTCCTAAACAAATGCGATCTAGCTCTGTTGATATAAGTCTCCCGACTGAAGATAACAGTTCCTACAAGGCCATAACAAATAACAAGTAAGTCCTCTCGTACATGTATTATAAATGTCCCTTAAGCTTGGGTACACTCATTATTAATTTGTAGAATTTTTTTAGCTCAATTACAATAATTCTAGCTGGCAATTAAGAGGCTTTAAATCGCTTTATTTTTAATTGGGTATTCTCATGATAAAAACCAGTCCCAGGAATGAGTTTTTTTCTAATGTGGCTGTTTTATGTTCCAATTAGGTTATAAAAATTTAAGGATACTGCAGGGAATCTATTAATTATTCAGCTTACAAAAACGTCACATGCTGAGTGACAAGGAGGTATCACTTTCCGTCACATCAATTAGTGATCGTGTGTACGTTGTCAAAATTTGACACATCTTCACAATTTCTTAATATTGGTTCGTTCATCTTAATATCTCAACTAATACCGTAATGATTTAGATGAAAATTCTTCAGCATTATCTACAATCCGTTATATTTCATGTTGATGTGATATATTTTAATAATGAACATGACAGAATGTAAAATCATCACCTCTCCAGGTCCAACCAAATTCGACATTGATCATAATGCAGTGTCGCTTTGGTTATTGATGTTAAGAAAATCGTTCCATTGATTTTGATCTCCGACTCCATTTGAAGCAAATGGTTATGAATATTATTCCTGTATTATTCACATTATTCACATTATTAGATCTACTGCTTCAATAATAAATACACTGTTGGATGAAAGGGTCGAAAGGGTTTTCCTGCAATGTATTCACATTATTTAACGTCGATGTAGCTGTATGGTTACAGCTGTTGTAGCTGTTCACAGATGCGTGGTGGAAATATGTGTAATGAGGGTGTCAGTGAGGTGTGGCTCCTTTACCCAACTCCACATCCTGTTTCATCACTGTAGGGCTCTTTGTGCTCATCGTGTCAGCGAATATGTGGAGATGAAAAGAACCCTGTGTCTATTTCTTGACTACCTTGGCTGCGTTTGTACTGACTGTCGAGGGTACAGGGTTTATATGTCAAGGGTAGAACAGTACACTGTAGGAGGGTAAAATGTAGGTACCAGGATTGGGGTTAAGCAGTACACAGTTGTAGGAGGGTTGTGGTAGCCGCAAGGTTTTGACTGGGATACAGGGTTAGGGTAACATTGAGGTACCAATGTGGATTTGATTCGGGTAACTGAGTGGACGGTTTATGTTAGGGTTGTGGTGGCCACAAGGTTTTGATTGGGATACAGGGTTAGGGTAACATGCAGGTACCCGATTTGATTCGGGTAACAGATTTGTGGGGTGCTCAGGGTAACATTCAGGTACTAAGAAGGATTTGATGGAGGACATTGTTGTAGGTTGTTTTGAGTTGAATGAGGAATGGATGACAATGTTGTTCACCATCGTCAGCAGTTTCCTGCCTGATGCCATGGTTTGTACATAGTGAAGCCTGGCAAGGAATTCCATAGGTTAAAAGAAAGATTGTATAACACTGATGAGGTATGATGATACACAACTGCTGGGGAACATTGGAACCATCCAATCCTCATTTAAGTGGTCTTTTTCAAGAAGAGGACAAGAGTTTGTAAAGATATGTTGTATTGTCCCAAGGAAACCAGTGTCAAGCAAGTATAGGTTCACAGATACACAGGGCGGTGGGTAGCCTAGTGGTTAAAGCATTCGCTCGTCATGCTGAAGACCAAGGTTCGATTTCACACATGGGTACAATGTGTGAAGCCCATATCTGGTGTTCCCCGCTGTGATATTGCTGAAATAGCTAAAAGCGGCGTAAAATCATACTCACTCACTCACTCACAGATACACGAATAGGCTGACAGTGAGGGTCAGTGACGTACGGTTGATATTCATCAGCCATTTAGTCCAACCAATACCCACACCTATAAGGAATGTGGTCAGGTAGCCATATGGTTAAAACATTTGCACTTCACACCCATTGCCTCGTTTAGATTCTCCACATGGGCGCAATATGTGAAGTCTATTCCCTGTCTCGGATATTACTTGAATATTGCTGTTAGTGACGTAAAATTCTTATCATTCACTCATGACAACCGAGAACTATTTGCCCTACTTTGCCCCACTTTGCCCAGGAATGTTAAAGGGTAAATGTATCAACTTGACTAGGGATATATCTTGGCTCTCCAAGGAATGCAGTGTCATCAGTAGCTATTGGCATAACCTTCTAATGAGTTCAAAGCTTTGGTTCAGTTTTCTCATCAGTATTTTCATTTGCCTATCAGTTTAACGACTTGTAGATTCCTTTTCTCAAATTGTGAAACTCCTTATTTTGTATCTCATCAGTATTTTCCATTTGCCTTGTTCAACTAGTTCTTTTAAATCACTTTTCTCAAATAGTGGAAATCCTAATTTTATACACTCTCAGTAAACAACTCAGTATTTTCATTTATTTAAATTGTAACAACATATTTTTTAATCTCTTTTCTCAAATTGTGAAACTAACATTACACATTATCAGTAAACAGTAGAGCAGGAAAATACCAGGAACCTCACCCCCTTTATCCAGACCATATCGATTATACTATTTTTGTCGGCCCACTAACATGGCGGACACCAAACAACCTACCGATGCATCGATAAATTACGGCGATTTTACTGTCGGAAATTACATATGTCTTTAAAGATGGATTTAGCGATGACGGGCTCGACTCACTACTTGCGTAAATCGCAGCAATAGGTGTTTATACATACAAAAGTACCAAAGCATGGAAACAAATATTCAGTCGAACAAGATCAAAACATCGCCTGCTTTCCGAATAAAAATTCAGCAAAACAAATATGTTTACGTTGATTCTATGTTATGTCAGAATAGATCCAGCAATAGACTGCTACATAATTTCCGTGTTAAATTTATTATCAGCTTTAGTCAACGATATAGCCACTGATCTTGATCCGGTAGCGGAGGATGCATTAACATCGAACCGAAGAAATGTTAATGCCTTCCGTCGACATAAATAAACAGTTGGGTTATCAATTCAAACAAAATGATAATTTTGAAATTTGTACTGTTTCAAATTTAGCGGTAGTAAAACACAATTACAGTATCTGCAAACCGCTCTGTTTAGCCCCAACATATTTTTTTTCTAAAAGTATAATATCATTGAAAAAGTTATTTAGCTTAGTCATGATCCCTCTTATCCATTACACTGCTTGATCTAAAGTAGTCTATTAAAGTATAATTAATTACCTTACCGTGTTTTGCCAGAGGTACACCCTCATGTCCTGATCCATCCTTTCGAAATATCACCACAAATCTGTCTCTTTGTCAACAGACTCGCTGAACATGCCAGCTTAATCCGATTCAATTTGAATTCACTACACTTTGAAGCCACTAGGTCACAAAACACTTTCCAAAATGTAGAAAATAATATCCATAGAATCGAATTTGAGCACAAAGTACACATGAGTGTGTAAGAGTCATCACAGCTGTCGCGACGCAGACGTAGGTCGTGCGGAAATCGATCAAGTTGACAGGGCTAAAAATTCAACAGTATCTAAATTGCAATTAACACGGACTCCTCGTTACAGCAAAAGCCTCCACTCTTAAATTTTGTACCAGTACCAGTAATTAGATATCAAAGACTATCTCAGTCATACAATCAATTGTGTGCCACTTGAGAAAACTCAAAGAAGTTGACTGAAACTTGTCCTTTAATCGCACATGTAGAAGTCAGAAAGACTTCCCATATATTAATGACTTGGGTAAACACGAAGTTATAGTGAATTTTGTCATTAACCAAGAGAGTTAGTATTTGTCTGGATATTTCTACTCACCGGAATCCACCACTTGAGTTACCCATCCCAGCATGGGTGAACAGTACTAAACCTGTTTTCATGTAACAGAATGTCTCAATGTTAGGCTCAATGTCGACTTTAGATAATATATTGCAAAAGGAATCAAACACACGTCTGAATGATTAGGCAAGTCTAGTTGCCACTACAGGAGGAAATTGTTATCCCTGGCTCGAGGGTCTTGGAAGATATATTTTTATGAATATGATAACTATATTTCTGGAATTATCAGTTCATCTGAGGCTCCACATTTCCACAATGTACTTTCCTCAGAAGAGATAGTCTCATGTTTCAACTTGCTTGTATCAGGTTCTGAACACAACTAGTCTGTCTCACAGTCCCTGAACCGCATTACTTTCACTTCCGACCAGCCCTTTCTGCAATGCTAATGTCCTGAATCAAGCAAGTATAGATTTCCTCAGGTGGAGCCTCTTCTCAATATAAAAGGAATTTTGTTTCTGTCAAAATTATATATTCAGAAACTAAGAGTAAGTCTAAACTCTCCTTCAGCAAATGAAGATGAATATTTGTGTTTGAGACGTGTCTGGTTTCATCATAAATGAAGCGACATTGGATCTGACCATTAACATCTGTGACCTGTCTAATTATGTGTGATCATAGTCCAGTGGACCAGGTTAGCTGTCATGATGTCAACCACTGGTTTGCCTGGTCCAGACAGTATATGCAGACAGGTGGATGTTACGGAAATACTGCTGATGTTTGGTCTTTAGTCTGCAACAAATATCTGTACAAATTTGGAAATTAGAATTAAGAAGCTTCCATACTATTACAGTAGTAACTATTTTTATGTTCTTTAAGATGTACCTCGTTAGGATGAGAAAGCCACAATAACTCGGTGCGTCTAGTGGCTGCAAGAGTTGTATACTCCCCAGGGAGCTGAGATTGATAATGCGATGTGCTGTTCAGATTGACATCCAATGATCGAGGGAAAAATACCAGAGCATGCACCAGTGCGTGGATATGTGCGCTATATAAATATCTTATAATAATAATAATAATAATAATGTACCCAGTTCATGGGTAACGTGAAAATGACATTTTTTCTAATTTAACCCTACCAAGGGCACACAGTTTGCTGTCTTGCGTCCATCCCCGCTGCTTTGTCAGACGACATCCATTTACTTTATCTCCATCTTGTATTGATCTGTTGTGAACTGAAAAATTAATGCAAGTTTTATATTTGTATCAAAGTTTTA